ATAATAATAATAATAATAATAATAATAATAATAATAATAATAATAATGAATTTAATTTGTAACGCACTTTTCATTAACAAAAATCTCAAAGTGCTACAGAATGCAACTAAAATCTGTGATAAAATCAACTATAATCAATATAAGGTCACAATGCACTTTCAATTTTCCAATATTATTTTATTGTAAAGCATACCCATCAACAATATCTTTAAAACAATAAAAACTTGTTTTAACTGGCCATGAGGTCGTGCTTTGAAATATAAATGAAGTTTAGACAATTGTTGTTAAAACTACAAAATAAATAAAATTGGTAAAATTGGTTTCTCATGAAAGTATCAGCCGATCTCCCAAAATGAAGGAAATCGGGGCTGATAAATCGCCTGTCTGATTCATCGGTGCACCCTGAGATCAAGCATTTTGGATCTCCTTCCACAAGCTTCTCTTAATAGTTGGCAGGACTTTTGACCCATTCCTCCTGACAGAACTGAGCCATGGTTGTAGGCTGCCTTGCTCGCAGCCTACAACCATGGGGTATTTTTTCAACGATTTAAATTCAATAAATTATCAAAAATAAAATAATTACAATTTTTCATTGATTCTCTTCACTTTGTCTAATATGCCTTTGTTTTTAATACCAATTATGCAATTTTTAAATGTTTAAAAAGTTACAAAAGACACCAGTGATGCAGAAAGGAAGAAGTGGGTAAAGATAATGGAAGGACTGAAGGACTTTTAGTGATAAAGTCACTAAATTGGAGTTTTCAAACATAACCTTCATAATGTCTTCACAAGTCAAAATGTGATTAGAGTGAAAAAAAAAATAAAAATGCTGAAGAGCAGATTTAGGCTTTTTTTTTTTTTTAACTCGGGGAAATGCTGAGGTTGTGCAACATCTTGAATCATGGGGTGTGCTCAGTTTTAACCCATTTAATAATAATACCATGGAGAAATGTGAATAGTTTCAGAACCTGGTAAAGAGCAGATCATTTTCATTATGCCCTCAGAAAACTCTGAAACTAAACGAGGTCATACACTCCCCTGACAGTCCTTTATTAAAGTCACTTTATTTCTGGTGTTGTGGTATTTTACACCTTCTCATGGATGCAGTCACAAACCACACCTCAGCACAATTCTTTTTAATTTAATTACCATTATCTGGAGCATGTTGCCGCTCTACTCACCTCACAGCTTTTGGATTTCTACTTAAACTATTTTACCTTTAAATGACCTCCTCCTTACTAATATTTATTGTTTTGGTTTTTTTAGATCAGATGCTTCTTCAATAATTTACCTTTACAAGAAACTTTCTTTCAAATTCTGGGAAAATTATTCTTATTTATTATTCTTATTTATTCCAAAGAACCTTCTCTCTTTACATTTTAATTTTTGTATCACTTAAAAGTACTTAATGTCCAGATATATTTATTACAAGTGGTCTTTGCTTAAAGCTTGTGGGTTTGAGAAGCTCCTGACTCACCATGACAGAAGCAAGTCTGTGGCTGTTTCTGCTGTAGTAAATAATGCAAATACTATCCAGTACATCATCCACTTCACCTGCAGGGAGAAAGAGCAGAAAATAAATTAATAAAATAGCACGAGTGATAATAAAAATAGCACACGATCCACGAGTTCCATCACACGTGACAAAACACGTGGAGCTAAACAAGATATGCCCAGCAACCAGAGCTGCAGCGTTTGTTTCAGTTTATACAACTATTTGGTTGTTTTGTTTATCTCTTGACAAAAAAAAAAAAAAAAGTAGGGAATGGTTAAAATTTGCCTTAAAGTAAACTAGAAACAAATTAGCCCCAAAGTGTAAGAGACGCACTGAATGTTAAGAAGGTACAGGGACACAAACACATAAGACGACATCAAACCAAATCATTCGGCTCATTAAATGAGTCAAATAGCAGAAAAAGAGGAGTGAAAGCTCTAAAAATGGCGATTCCCCCCCTCCTCCTGCTCCCATCACTCGCTCCTTCTGTGGCCTTCTGCTTGAGCAGTGATGGAGGGAGGGTTGCCATAGTAACCAACCAGGAGGAGCCTGCTCTCCAGAATAGATGTAGGCTGAGGGCCAGAGTGCTCCTCCTCCTGGCTTCCTTCTCTCTCGACTGATGCAGCGATGAGGTAAACGGGAGGTACCCCGTCTACACCATCGATGCAAAAACAAAAAGATGCACTGCTGCCTCTCGCTGCTCGTCTCCCGTAGCAACACTGGCTAATTCATTAGCATTTGAGTAACATTAATATTCACTTTGTACGACTGTCGTGGTGCAGGGGTGAACTGATACAAAATAACACCGTATATAACTAAATTAAAAAAGACACTAATGGACATGCAACATTTGAAATGCATAACTTTGTATGGGGCCTGGGGGGGGGGGGGGGCTACCTGCAGATTATCATACCCTTCATACTGATTATTTCCCAACCTTTTGAGTTTGTCCATCTCAAATGAAGCATCTATTCTTCCCATCTCATACATACTACTGTGCTGAGCAAAGCATGCTGAGAAGTAAAAATACTTTCCTAACAATAAACCTAAATGTTTGTCATTTGTTTTCAGCCTAATAAGTACTGAAAGACCTTACAGATGATCCAATATGAAAAAAAATTGTTTTAGGACCCTTTTCCTTAAAAAAAATGCATCACGTTTTCTAGATGTACCAACATAAAGTCAGAGTTGGTGGATAATAGGTGTACATTTATCTAAATATGCCAAACAAGTGATAATGTTCATACGTTAGCTAGCTGTGGCACTTCCTGCATGACTATGATAACATCACTGCAAAATATATGTGTGTAATGCGAAATCAACAAGGATGTATAGTTTTTTTTAAATCGCATCCTTTTTTGGAATAAAGTTGCTTTAAAAACAACATCGCTCCACTTTGCTCTTCCGGCCCACTTGGCCTAGCCATTAGCTCAGAGTTAGAATTATTTCTCCAAAATGAGGTCGTTCAAAGAGCCATCTGCAACAGGTAAGATCATTGTTCACAACCTTTCTACAGAACCCCACTTTAAATATAAATGAGTGTTTCTTAAAAAGTGAGACTAAAAAAAAAAATCATAAAATTCCTAGAAGCACTATAACCATCAGCTGGAACAACATCGAGTTGAGAGCTGCTCCCCAACGATGAAGAGCTTCAACTTTAAACTTCCGACTGTAAAAAAATAATGCAAATTCTCCCTTAACCAACAAACCTTATAGTCAAATGTCAATTATAATAGACTAATGTACAAAAAAGCAATTCAGAGGTTTTTCTATGGAGGTGGCCTAATGATGAAAGAGCACGATCAAAATCATGTTCTATTTTACCAAAAGATTAAACTCGTACGTTTTTAAACATCACAGAAACAAAAGGAGTGCACATATTCTGTCTTCTTGCAGCACTGCAGTGACCTCATTTCATGAATGTTTGTGTCCTACTTGAACCGCCTCTCAGTTCAGCTTCACCTTGAAGAAACTTATTACTTAAAACATGTTCAATATTCTGATCAAGGTTTGAGACACGGAAATATATTTAATGTTGAACTTCTCGGCCTTAAATCTATTCCTGCGTTCCCTCTCAGCACGGATGGTAACGCAAAATATAAAAATAGGAAGACGACAGCTCGAAGCAGAAGCTGCCGAAAGGCAAACGAGACGGAAAGAGGTCATGAGCGGTCTGCTGCGACACAAGAACCAGAGGTGGTACTCACATATTCCTTCACGTTCTTCGTTTTGACAGCCTTGTATGAGGAGTACGCCGGGTAGAGCGTCCCGAAGGCAAGGCTGCAAAAACAGAGCAGGGACACCTAGGTCAACATAAGGATTCAGTAACAGGCAGGTATACACACACCTAACACATACACACGTTGTTTGTCTATGACTGTTCCACTTTTACATTAACAAATACAGTTTGTATATGGTGTTGAATGATGCCACAGAAAATGAAACTGTAGGCTGAGGCTTATCAAAACAGGCTGGTCTGAGAACACAAATGGAATCAGGAAGACTGCAGTGAGATGAGGTGGAAAAAACACACAAAGGTCCGCCAGAGGGTCAACATGTGTCAGCACACTGATGTGCATTTAGCTCCATCTTTTGCTTCTGTGCTGATATGACAGGAATAAAAAGAACACCAGTAGAAAATGCGTAAATGACCGTAAGCTTACAATTAAAAGTATATTTTAAAAATCCATAGGTTTAGATGTGAATCACACCAAGCATCTATTTTTCCCCCCACTGAGTTTAGATCTCGTGTCCCATTTAGAGCTCCTCAGTGGTGTGTGCAGCGGCTCCAAGCGTGGAACATTGAGCCGAACTGACTCGAAGCACATGTCCAGAATGGTGAACTCCCTCAGCCATCTGATGCTCGAGCCATTTTATGACATCCCAATCTCACCTCTTAAGATTGTAGCCCTCTCCTTAATTTGATCATAATAACTGTTTCCATATGTGCTGGAAAAGAAAGAAAGATGTGGCTGTGTATTTAAAAAGCTGAGCAAATGATTGTTGGCTTGGCCTGCTGGGAGTAGATGATTCATTTCCAGTCACATTGTCTGCCTCCAGTAGACGCATGACTACCTGAGGGAGGCAGGGAGGTGGAGGATTCAGCTGGAGGCATCTAAAAATTAACAGTGTGAAGTGTTCATCTTGTGTAATCCAGGGGTGTTGATCATTTCCACACCTGAGGCCTTTATGAATGGTCAAAATCAGAAATCAGCAGTCAAATAATCCAGCTACATGTTACAACACTGTTTAAAAACTGACCATAATGCAGCATAGCAGCAGTGCTGAGGTGCAAGCTGAGGCCTGACCAGCTTGAGATCACCCAACCATCCACAACAACTCGTTCATTCCTGGCTGTCAGATTTTGCTCAACAGTTTCGTGTCTGGAGCACAAAGATGCTGAAATGCTCCGTTTTCAGAGCAGCAGTCGGTTTAAACGGAGCCATGGCAGGCGTTTTGTTTTTCTCTGTTTACTTGTGCGAGGCTTGCATATTAAGCAGGCTAGCTCCGAACAAGGCGAGCAGCTCCACAACAGCTCCTGCCGACATATCAAATGTTATTTGAGCTAATTATTAAGCGCCGCTAGCTAACAACGGCTAACGCACGCGCTGATTGTGCTGCATCATCGCGCCGTTTTTTTTTTTTTTTTTTTTAAATAAAAAGGTTTAAAAATAGTGAGCAGCAGCTTCACCTCGGTGTCTAACAGCCTGTTCGCTGCATTTTCTTTAACTAAAGAGGAACAATGTTCGGACAGGAAGTTGATGGAGAGCAGCCAGTGGAGACACCACCAGACAGATGGAGAAGACGCTGCCTGATGTAGCTAAACACAACAGATAGATGGAGCCCAGCCCCCAAATACTCACACAACTATCCTCGAAATAATCCAGGATACCATCTTTGCAGGCTGAGAGACTTTGCTTTTAGGTTTGTAGAAAGTCTAGTTGGCTAGCAACCAGGCTCGGTGCCACTCCATCCCCGTCCAGGACGCGGAGTGTATCGATGTGCACCGGGACGTTGCTGCTGTCAGGTGGAGGAACGTGCAGCTGGAGGAGCTGGAGGAGCGCTGCTGCTGCAATCTGCTCCAGGACGATCCGCTCTTAAAGGGACAGGCTCACACTACGGCAAGCCCATTCATCATATAATGAATACGTTAAAGCAGATACTGTAATGGCAAATATTATGAACCAGCAACTTCATTTTAAAACCACGACAGCTGTCAAAATGCACGATTTTTCAGTGGTTTAAATTTGATTGTTTTTGTTTGCGTATTGTCAATGATTTAAAAAACAACAACATTAAATACACATTCACTACCTACTTTGTGACAAATGAGCTCAGGGTCGTGTTTTGTTGCCAACATTAACGAGTCGTTTGTTTACATTTGAACTTTGATGAGTGCACTTCAAACAATCTAGGCATGCAACAGATACGAGTCTGTAAAACAATCCCCGGGTGTAAAAAGACACCAGGTCTAAGAGAAAAGGTAAAGTTCTTCTCTCTTCGTAAGGACAAATGTATTTCTGAGGGAGGAAAAATAAATTCAATAAAATCATCCAATTTTACAAATACTTACCTAATATTTGATGTGGTCTGAGACTAATCAACATCTCTGAGCACTAAGTTTGCAGTTTGTCATTAACTCTTTAAGAACTGTAACATATCTCATGAACCACTGGACAAATTTGAATGAAACTAGAAAATAATCATTGATGTATCTACGACAATTTAATTTTTGGAGCCAACTAAATACAAGATGGCTAGTGCTACAGCTAATTCACCTCAGCCAATACAAAATGTCTATAACCAGTCAATTTTACAGATGCTGAGCTAATATTTGTTATGGTGATAGCAAATCCTGAAGTAACAGAGATATCGTGTAGAGAAACGTCCTCCCTGGTGTCAGTGCTCTCTTTGAACAGGAAGAATTGTGAATATCTGCAACTCTAAACCAACCTAGCCATTAAATGTCAACTTATTTTAATATTCTTTACTGTGAAAACCTTTAATTATATTTTCAAATAGGAGGAATGTTAGACATTGAGGCGTATTTTTATTTATATTCTGACAAGAACTTGTTTTTGACTAAAAACACCATTGGTATGCGATTTGATTTTGTTACAAAGGTCTGCCATAGAGTGGTGTCAGCGCTTCTGCTTTGAAAGTGCCTTATGTTCCTCTCTGTGCACCAATAGCACACCACTAAACTGAGGTAAAGGTAATAAACAAGTTATCACGTTAGACGACCGTTTGTTACACAGCAAAAAAAAAAAAAAGCTTTCTGAACCAGCTGTGATTAGTGTAAGGAAGACAAAAGTTAGTCCCTTTGGTTGATTACTGAGGTCTTGCAAACACTACTTTTGAACAAAAAGACATTAAAAAACAACATTCAACAAAGCCATTTTTGTCAATTTTATTGTGAAAAAAATCAGACTGCTAAGATCAATATATATATTGATACAATGTTAATGGCCAGTAGTTCTGTTCAGCTGCAACTGTGATTCTTTAGCAATGTTCGTGGAAGTCTGCAGTTTAGCAACCCACTGGGACCAAGGTTAAAAAAAAAAAAAAACAACCACCATCTCTGAAGAGCTACAGATCATTAACTTGTGCATAAAAAGAAATTTTCTTAACTCTAAAAGTGAAATAAGAAAACTAAAAATACAAAACTTTGGTCTGCTTCCCTTGACTGACTGCTTCGTGAATTCATTTCAGCCGTGGACGACAGAAACAATCAGCTGTTTAAAAAAAAATAAAAAAATCTACCAAAGCAGATCCTATTGGAAAAAAAAAAAAAAAAAAAAGGTAATTGAAGTAGGAAAAGTTAACCCAGGACTCACATTTCATCAGTTGCTTTTATTTGTAGCTGGACCTCTGCTCCAAAGGCACGGCAGCTTTTACCTCCATCAATCAAACATCTTACATTTACAATGAAAACAACAGAACACACTGACCATAAATACAATGTTAATCCAAAAAAAGAAAAAAATATATTTGAAAAACAACTAGACAAGTTTGAGCGTACTGTGTTACAGCGATAAAGGAACTCCTTCATCGATGCTCATTAGCCCCTCCCAGTATAACCCCCACCCCACCCACCCCCCTCAAATGAAATGTTCTTTCCCTAAACTCAAACCTTCACCTCCCAAACAACATACATCTTCATACCGTGTACGCTGCAGCTTAGACTTGTGTGGATATATGTGTGTGTGTGTGTGTGTGTGTAGAGGAGTGGTCTTGGGGGAGAACGTCTAAGGGCGGGCCAGTTTGGGTTCATGTGCCTTCAGCGTCCCGACGGCGTCCTTCACAGCGTGATAGATGATGTTCTTCACCTGAGGAAAGGCAAAAGTGTTAAGACCTTAAATTTCAAGTTTCTTTATCATCATTCACATCACATGTGGTACATGAGGTGGAACAAAATTGTGTACTCAAGTTCCCAGTTACACCCAAAAATAGCACAAATATAAAGTATAAAAAGAAACAGTATACAAGGATCTAAGCTACACGCTAAACACTAAAAATGTAAAATAATACTGTGTATTAAACAGCAGCCTGAACATGAGTCTGTTGTGAGCAGATGGGTATGAAATCAGCAGCACAGATAAAGTGTCACATATCACCAATTAAAGTGGCATTACTGTGCATTTTTTTATTTACAGTTAAGACGAAACAGACATTTTGATGGTCAGACACCGACCTGCAACTTGTCCTCGTGGTTGGTGTGAGTTGTAGAAAGGTGTCTGAACTCCTGCGTCAGTCTGAAACAGTGCCTCACGTGCTCCGGGGACACAAAATCCTCCGCCGCCTTGATACAGCTGTACAGATTGTGTACCTGAAAGAACCCAGGGCGAACGTTTTACTGATAAACTTGTTTTACTGGAACATACCGGACACGTTTCTTGGGCGTTCATGAGTGATGCGTGTTTGGAGAGACGGCCTTCGTGCTGACCTGGTGTGGAGCTCCAGCAGGGATAAACACAGCGTCTCCTAAGAACTGAACAATAGCCCAGCCCTGGACGCCGTACTCCTCATAAAGGCGGCGGCGGAGCCCCTGGTCCAGGTACCAGCTCTGGTCGTGAATAGGGTCGTGGTCTGGAGGGTTCTCTTGACCTTGTTCTTCACCCACCTGACACAAATCACATAAATGTGACAAAAGTTTTCACCTTTAACAGCTCGTTTTGTGGGCCATGATAAATCTGTTGTGTAAGAAACCGTAGTAACATTTTTAAAAAGAAGTAAAGATTAAAGAATCTGGTGCCGAGTACAACAGAAATCTGCTGACCTTGCGGAGCAGCTCTCGAATCTTCTCAGCATCCTTGGCAGCGTAGATGTGCCACAGAGCTCCAGGTTTCTCCTTCCCCTCGTTCGCCCTCCTCTTCGACATCTCGTCCACATCTCCCTCCTCTATAGTGATCATGACCTCTGAAGGCCGAAGAAAAGAGCAAACGATACAAACAAAAACATACAAGATACCAAGCATCCATTAGTCTATAAGAATGACAAGGTTTAGTCTGTAGGATTTAAGTTTGAGGTTGATTTTCTTCATCTGGCCAAATACAGGAAGATGTTGAAAGTTACTAATGTTTCTTTAACACAACAGGTTTTATTCCACTTTAAAAACTGCATTATACTACCTAAAACACTGACTGGGATAGTTACATTAAAATGAATCATTTATGAATTAAATTAACATCCATTCATCGTACATTTGGACAAAAACGATGCAGCGTCGTGGTTCTCAACTGGCCCTTCTTGACCTGAAGTGCATCTCAAAGACATCGGGCTCCAACACTTTACGGGTTATTCCAGATTGCGCTCTCACTTTTGAGCTTTTCTTCAGATTCTGTTTGCGACTGTGTAATGAAGCTGTCAACACAAAAGCTGCACGTGTTTTATTGTGTTCAAAGTTTATCCGCCAAGAATTTATACCAACTAATATAGTTGCAAAAAGCCAGTGAAGAGGTCCAGCATCTCTGCAGACGCAGCTGCTCCGACAACTACACCCGTCTTATTTCTGCAGTGAGGCAGTGCCGCCACAGAGGATAAATCAGGCTAAACTAAATAATGAAGTCAAGTTCAAAGTTTAGTTTAGAGAAATCCAAGTGTTGCTTAAGTTAAAATAAAAAATAAAAAAATACCTCAAACATTCAAACTACTTCCGTCACTTAGCCTGGAAATTGTTAGGACCAATTTTACTGGACAGTCATGCTGATGTTCAATGTTGCCTAATCTTTAAACCTCAGCCATAAGGTTTAAAAGTTACGTTATTTTAAATAATGTCTGAGAACTAATGTAATGGGAGTTCTGGGACCAGACCAGTTGAGAACCAGAGACAAATTAAACAGTTTACGAACTACACAATCACATTAACTGACACAACGTTCACGTCCACAGCCTATAGTTGACTCGTAGAGTAACTAAAGCCATAAAGATATACACCTGTCATTAACAACTGATTCATCTGTGTTTCTGAAATGACTTTGCAGCTGTGACAACACAGGATGGTTTCAATTTCTATACATCGATGAAGCTGCTGGTAACGTATTTAGTGCGACAGCTCCAAAAAAGGCAGAGATCTCCCAAGTCACTAAAAAGGGGAGCTCTTGTTCATGTTTATGCACAAGTAACTTTACCATAACAACCCTAACAAAACAGTAGTTCCTCGCTACTTCGCAGACTCACCGTTTTGTGGTTTTTAAAAGTAATATTGTACACGAAAAAAAAGGTTGTATATGACACACGATGGTCAACTTTAATATTACTCATGTGATTGGGACAGTACGGTATACAGTCAAAAAGTAAAATATAAAAATACTTCGGACAGGTGCCACCATACTGTAGTTTTCTCAATAACGCCTACACTGTATTGCCACCCAAAAGGACTACATTTCCCAGAAGCCAACAGTGCTTCCAGCCATTGCTTTCTACTGAAATGGAGGGAAAGTTTTCATCCAATTGAAAAGTTTGGTCTTTATTCATAGTGACTTAGGTGCTCAGTGGATGCAGAGAGCCGTACGGAACCGACTGGGAATTGGACCAGAGCTGGCCTTCCAGCATCATCGGTCAATCTGAGCACTGCTTGCCAGCCCATGAGGCCCCTTGAGCGGAGAGGCGTTTGGAGAGCCAGTGTTTTCCCCAGCACTCATCTGGACTTTTCATCCAGATTTGGACTTGATCTGGACCATTGCGTGGTTTTGTTTGCAGTACGTAGTTACTGTGCAGTACATATATGCATGTTAAAATTAAGTAAGTTTAAGAGTTTAGAACATTGTGGGCTTCGTCGCTGCAGGGTAGGTCTGCAAAACCGGAATCGAGCCTGACCGACCAGAACTGAGCTGCTGCTGGTCTGCAGAGCTGGTGAGTAAAATTTTGCAGTATTGTACAGTAGGAATGCACGATATAAACGGTACACGGTAGAAACGATAGAAATTTAGCCTACGATAGAGATCTGTCTTCTACCAGCTAACCGCAGTAATGCTGTGTCTGATGTAAAATCATTGTCAGTTTAATCGTTACTTTTTTTGAGTTGAAAACTGTGCGCAAGTGGCGTTAAAGTCTTTTGTTCGAGAGCTAAGTAGCGAAGCTACAAGCTAACTACAGCCGGCTTGCCGTAGTGTTGCCGTATTCTGACGCATGCGCAACACGCTGTGTTCCATCAAAAGTTTTTTTTTTTTTTCCATCGAACGTTAAAGTAAGCGTTGATCAGCTTTAGAGAAACCTGCTCTCTGATCTGTGACAAGAACACTGTGTTGTGTGATTTTTACTGAAAGACCCTCTGGTCAAAGCCACAGACTCATTTTGTGTCAGCTCTCCATTAAAGCAGAAGGAGGTGCCCACTAGAGGCTGGAGGGTGAAGTGTTTTCAGTGTAAAATGCTGCTCTGTTGCTGTTCATTTATTAATAATAATAATAATAATGTCATCACAATGTCAGCACTGTATGTTTCCATACAATGGTGAAATTAGTCTCTGCATTTAACTCATCCACCACCAGGTGGTGCAGTGGGCAGCTATTGAAGGCACCCGGGGGCATTTTGGGGATGAGGCGTGCTGCCCAGAGACCATGTGCAGTGACTGGGGATCGAACCTGGGACTTTTGGGTCCCAAGCCGGCTGCCCTGCCTCTACACCATCTCGGCCCCCATATATTAAGTGAGAAGACTGGAAACTGTTCTTAACAACATATTTTTTTGTTTCAAACATATGGCTAAAACTACATTTGATATATTTTGCACTACAAGAAAAAAGCATAATACTTTATTTGTTTATTATTTAAAAACTCTCTGGACCTAGTAGTGGAATTTTCTTAATTCAAAATATATGATGGCAAAAGGACACCCTATGCTTTTTTTTTTTTTTTAGCAAGTTTTATACCAAAAACATACTGCGATATGTATCATTATCGCCACCCTTCACAATACATATTGTGATATGAATTTTATGCCAATTTTAGGGCAGCTGTGGCTGAGTGGTTAGAGCAGTCGTCCTCCAATGCAAGAGTTGGGGGTTCGAATCCACCAGCAGTCACATGCCGAAGTGTCCATGGGCAAGACAATGAACCCCTCATCGCCTCCGATGTGTGTCCCATCGGTGAATGAATGTGATCTAAAGCTCTGATTAGTCTCTTTAGAATGATTTGTTCAATTAGCTTTGTAGAGATCTAGTAAAGTGCTGTATGAATGGGTAAATGAGGCACAGGTTGTAGTGTAAAGCGCTTTGAGTATCTTGATTAGATAGAAAGGTGCTATACAAGTACAGTCCATTTACCATTACCATATCGCACATTCCTACTGTACAGTACATATATGTATGCTGTTAAAATTATTTAAGTTGAATAGTTTAGAACATTACAAGAGTGTGGGTAGGGTTTATAAAGCCTTAAAACATATATATAAAGTTTTTCCACTTATTGCAGGGGGGGGCGGGGGTGTCTGGAACATAACCCCCACAATAAATGAGGGACTACTGTACATATTTAGTGTATCTCTCTAGTGTGGCGAGTGCATAGGAATAAGGATGCCAGCTCTAGATGCCCTTCATTCAAACCACTCTCCTACAGTTTAAGGGCCAGAGCACTGCACACCCAGAGCAATCAGGAAGTGAGGACAGTCCCAGTGAAACAGCTGTCCAACTAAACCCAGGTCAGGTCAGACAATTTCTATGCAAATGGAGAAAATTGAACAACCCTGGAATCAACATAAGAGGTAAAAGGAATTCAATTGTTTGTTATTCAGGTAATAACGATAGCTTCACACAAAAACCTACAACACTGTATGAGACATGCAACAATACAAACAGGAATGGGTCCTTGTGCTCTGGCCCCTAATGCACAATAATAACAGAAGGATGGTACGCAAGAGTGAAGGAGGAGAGTTAGTCAAGAAGAAGGGCATGCTACGCAAGTGATACAACTGAAAGGCTACAGACCTTTGTATCCAGAGATTACTGCCTCTGTGAAGGAGAAATTTTGCCACAATGTAAATAAGTGAGACCCACTGGAGGGTCACTCCAGTGTCCTTTTCAAGCACATCAAGCCTGGAACAGCTAAACCTTTCAATCCTTTCAATCATGATTGTTGGTAAATTTATAATAAATTTTAATCTTCAATGTGTGAGATATTTAACAATGTAAAGTGTCATTTTTTTAAATAATAAATTGAATTTGACACAGGGAAGGAAGCTCCCAGTTTTAAATATTGCTCAGTTTTAAAAAGTTGTTACACTCGTTTCATGGACAAAGGAAGTAGTTACTCCAAAACTATTAGTAGGTGGAATAACGTTGATATCCTGTAATGGCTGTGTATTAAATGAGTGTGTATGTGTGTGAGAGAAAGGAGAGGCAGAAACAAATTCTTTAGGTCTACTGACCTTCCTCGTTGTTATTTTCTTTGTGAGGGATGCCGACATACACCATGACGTTGACAGCATCAGACACGTCCAAATGAAGGTTAGTGGTTCCGACCTTTCTGTCATCAGCTGAGGTCAAGCCTGAAGACAAAAAGGAAGTGAGGAAAAAAAACAGGAAGGCGAAGAAAAACGTACACTGAACAGAGCAAGAGAAACAGAAATCGACCAGACGAGCGCTTTTACCGTAGGCGTTGTACATCTTTGGTCCGAGGTCAGGACGCACAAAGAAGTTGGGCAAGCGTGCAGCGAGGTTTAGACGACCGTCTCTTTTTGTGTACTCGGGCAAAGGAAGGTTGTCCATCAAGTCGTTAAACCTGTGAAGTCACATCATACAGAAGGACTTATACAATAAAATCTTACAAATTACACATAAAAAGCATTTACTAAAACAATTGAGGATGGTGTGGCTGTCATCAAATAGCTTATGTTGCTAGGGGAAATGAAAATGGCTCTTCAACATGTCAAAATACTGCTTCAAAGTCAAAACACTGACACACATCTAGAAACAGATTTGGGTTTCTCACCTTGTGGGCATCATGTCCCTGAAGTCTTCACCTGGTGGCCAGTCCTTTAATTTTAACACCATGGGCTTGCCGTCGCTGTCCTGCAATCGCTCTGCTTTCACAAAAATACATTAGACAATTGTCTGAGATCAGTAAGAAAAATCAAATACCTAAACACACGCATATATAAACAACTTCAAACCAGTAATGATAAATAAGAAAAATAAAATGTGTACTCACTTGAGATCGTCTGAAAACCATCCCAGAAGTCTCGGACCTTTACATCAGAAATAATAGCACAGTTTCTACAATTGACTAGGTCAACATCCTGGTCTCCAAACTCCTCACTGAAGGCCTCAGGCCGCCACAGTTCAGACTTTAGGCGTTTATGAATCCCAGACACCAACACAGGCTGGAAATGAAGAGGAGAAACATCTGCCATAAGTGACTCTATTCTGCTGTATTCAAAGTTCATGTGGAGAATACGGAGTTGCTCTACTTCCGATGCTTACTTGGCCTTGTTTCCAGCACTCTCTGAAGATCTTCCAGTTGTTGGTGTTGCTGGGATCCTGTAGGCAAAGGAGACGCCCGTCGCAAAGCCAAGTGTGTGAGGTATGTGGTTCCAAAACACTTAGACCCATAACGCCATCTTTACGAGTCCCCAACACGCTAAGTTCGCTGCCCTCAGAGGACCCGGAGCGACGACCCTCTGCCTTCTTGGTCTCCACAACTGAGGCGATGATGTGATCCAGGAAGTTTGGAAGGCTGCTCTTCATTTTGTCACTCTGAATGACAGAGAAGACGCTCTGGGTTACACAGCTGCACGCTTTACAAACAGCAGAAGTTACGTCTTATTCTGTAAATATATATTATTTACAAGTTTGGTTTTGGAGATTTACAATTTAAAGAGTAATTAAATCACCAGTAGATGGCAGTAATTATAATTTGTAAACCAGTCGCTTCTACTCTTGGTGTACTATATTGAAATTATGACAAAAAAAAAAAACATTGGTGCTCATAACACTTTACATTATAAATGCAGAAAAAATGCCATAATTTTCAAAGGGTTAAAGTGATTTGAAGTCTAACAAATTCATTCATCTTGGAGAACAATGACAATTAGTTTATCAAGAAATCTTGCTCAGACTATTATTTAGGGTTATGCTTCCTAAAACTATAGTGACAAAACTTTACATACGCTTGCTGAGGTAAAAACGGAGGGGAAGGGGACCCCACTCTCTCCAGGGCCTTGCGGCAGCTTGCCCGGACCGGAGTTGAGCAAGTCGCGGAGGCTTGACCCCTCAGGTTTGGACTGGGTCATGCTGGGGCCGAGTAACAAACTATTAAACAGCTTCGGGCTGGAAGCAGACGGCTTTGAAAGGACACTGAGTGAGTCCAGGCCAAAGGGAGGCCGACTTTCTCGGCTCATCATGGAGCGAAGTGAACCGGATTCTGGAAGACAGAAAGATGGTGGTTGGACTTCTAATCTAAAACTGATGTCAGCTTCAAACTCTACAGCCCATGACAAGTTTAACACTTTGCATTTCTTACTTACCCTTGGTGTCATCCTTAGCTTTCTGTGTAGCCAAGTCTGCCAACCAATGCAGCGCAGAACTGTTGCCCTCTCCTGATGGGCGTGAGTCCTTGGTAGGGGACTGAGTGACATTACAGGGAGAGGAGGTACTACTAATGGAGTTACTGGTACTACCCACACTTTCCCCACCCCCAGTATCTGAGGGCGTAGCTGTTTGTGTCGGCTCTGTTTTGATCACTGGCGTTTCTCCCTCTGGTTTTGGAGCAGTGCTAGTACCAGAGGCTGCAGCTGCGAGTCCACCTGCACTGCTTGTCGCAGACTGCTGAGATAAGCACAATAACACAGAGTTTAAAAGAATCTAAGAAATCCAAACAAAAGTAAACAAATACTCCACCAACATACCTGTGAAATGCCATTGGGGGCAGTGGGGCGCACCAAAGACTTTGTGTGCCGACTGGCGCAGGGACAGTTGGCTTTTATACCCCACTTGCCTCTTGCAGCATGCACCATGTCACCTATGTTGTAAAGAGCTGCAGGAGAAAAGAAGCAATCACATCTTTATGGAATCACAATTACTTCTTTGTTTGCGATTTATAGATTTATGATTCGCAAGGGGTGTGTCCGCTACCTGTTCCAGGTATGATTTGAGTTGGCATGAGATTTTGTGGCTCATGAGGCTGACCTTTGGCACACTTTAACCAAGAGAAAACCTCATCTTCTGGCATTTCATCCGTATCTACATATAAATACACAGTAAGTTAATCTGTTATTCACTGTAGTGAGTAAGACACCTGACCTCTGTAAGTTTTTATATCTGATCATGATAAGTTACCTTCTCTCTGCCTGTTCCTGCGGAGCCGATAGCAGTCCAGACACACTCCAAAGCCGCACTTGCGACAGACCCAGTGGATGTTAAACAAAGTTGTCTCGCATACATCACACATTTCTCTGACTCCACGCACAGCCCGTTTCCACGCCACTTTTTCTGAAGGGCAGTGGAAAAACAACATTAAAGAAAGAAACTTCTAACAAACATAATGAACTGAAACAAGGCTGTGATGTGGGGTGACTACACTCACGGTGAGGCTCCACCATCATCATGGCCTCCTTCTCAGACATGACCAGCTGACAGAACTGGTCTCCCACATTGGCCAGGATGTACTTGGATGTATCGAGGTCAAGGCCTTCTTGTATAGCTGGAGCAGGCAACCAGAGTCCCATAGCCATTGCATCACTCTGCTGAGGACTTAGGAAGCCTTCCACACGCAATATGCCTTTACGTGTAAAAGCCAACCTGGTTGCAGACAAAACAAGAGCAGAAGAAAAATATGAGTTTATTAACAAAGCTACATTATTTTCTCTTTGACTGATGCAACAATGAGAAATAGAAACGGACGATACCTTCTGAAGTGGAAGAAACGACAAGCTACATTTGGGTCGTCGTCTTCGTCGCTGTCGTCCTCCGTGTTTCGATATTTACGGTAACGCTCCAGTCGACATTCACGGCACTTATGCAAATGAGGAGCCACACTGATGCAGGAGCCATCCTGGAGAAAGGACTCTCCAGACTGCTTCAAACGGCGTACCTTGCTTTGATCTTTGAGTATAGACTGGCCAACTGGAAGAAATAACTAACGGTTAATTCTACTGCTAATCTAGTTTGTCACCAGAAGAAAATTTAGGAGGTTGGTACAAACAATCAAGACTTACCTTTGAAAGGCTTGTTACGTGGACGGCCTTTAGGAGGACCTTGGATTTTAGTTTTCTGTAGAATGACTCCATCCTTGGAAGGATAAAAACGCTCTCCAAGGAGTTGGCCTTTATCAAGGCCGTCCTCATTCTCACTAAGGTCTGACAGGTCACTGTTGCTGCTAAAATCAGAGTCACGTTTAGATGAGAGGCCTCTTTCTTCAAGGATGAACTTCTGAGACTGGCTCTGGTCAAAGGACCCAGGCACTTCATCAGGACCGTTACTTCCAAGTATGGGGCAGCCCAAGGTGGATGTGGGCATCTCTCCAACTTCTTGCTCCTTCTTTGTTACAGACACCTCACTTTGAGGATGTGTGGAGGTTGAAGAAGAGCTGACTGAACCAGCTGCTGAGATTGATGGGAAAGTGGAGGACAGAATACCTTTAGGTGGCTCTGCCATGGTGAACAGGTTAGGCTTACTGTCCAAGGCAACACCCAACGTTTGTGACTCATTCCCAGTGAGGCCAACAAAAGATGTGTGAGCAATCGTATCCCCATATGCCAAAAATGGATTAGCAGACTCTTTGGAGGCCTGCAGAAAAAGGTTCTGGTGGATATCTGTGGAATTAAAACCAGACTGCAGTCCTAACCCCCCTGCAGAATTTTCACCATTACTGTTTTTCTTAATAGCACTTTGGGCTCCAGGGACCACACTGAGACCACCAGCCGTTAAAGTGGGACTCCGTCCTCCTGCAGCACCAACCTGGAAGGCTGAGGATTTGTTGAACACACCATTTCCTGCTGAAGGGACCTCAGGCACTTTGGGCTGCTCAGGCTTTTTTAGACCTTCAGTGGAAGATGCAGGCTTAAAAAGGCCTGGTGGCTCTTTACTCAGACTCTCAGACACTGCAGTAAAGTAATTTGTGTCCTTGGATTGGGTCTGGCCCTTCGTAAGGATTGAGCTGGTACCAGAATTCTGAGTCATACATTGAAAAAACAGATTATGGTCTTGCTGAGGCTTGGCTCCACTAAAGCCAAAACCAAAAGGTCTTGGAGTACTCTGGGAGGCTACAGTGGTGGCAGGAGCACCATTGGTCTGTGGGGGAGCATCTCCAAATACAGGAGGACTGGGCACAGCTTGGGGCAAATGAAAACTTGTCGCTGTTTTGGAGCTCTGCAAAAGGGAAAAAATTCAACTTGTTAATTGTGATGGCACAACAGAATTAATTTAGCGACAGCACTGCTCGTATTGGTTGTCTTACCTCAGTCTGGCTTCCCCAGGTAGGAGCTTTAGGGTTGAAACCCACAGACCCTGACAGAGCCACACTGGGACTGCTGTCCTGTGACCAGGAAATAGTGACAGGTCCCGGGGACACAAGAGCAGCTGTTTTAGAGTAAGCTGGCTGGCAGGTATCCTCTCTATCTGGTTGGGGGGATGTGGAGGACTTTGGAGTTGGAGCTCCAGGGACCAGAATTGGCATCTGCCCTACTGAAGGAAAAGATGCTGCAGAGAGGAGGGAGGGCGCTGGTTTAAGTGGAGGAGGATTGGGGGTGTGAGTAATAATGCTGGTGGGGTCTGCTGCTCCTTGGTTAGAAATCAAGCGACCATTTTCTTTTATTTGGGCAGGATAACGAGAAGGAGCATTTGACAGGTCCATGTGGGGTGTGGAATTGGTGGCTGGAGGAGACACTCTCACCTGGGGAGAGATTCCCTCAGTGGAGCTCCCATTTTTGGTTGTGCTGCCGATCCTTTCTCCAGAGTCTCCTGTCCAGATCCCCATCCCTTCCACCACAGTTTTACTTGAGTCACCAGGGTTTTGTGTTTCTGTGTCAGCAGAATCAGCAGCTCCTTTAAAACGTTTCAAGTGCAAGTCCTCCTCGTCCTCCGAGGGAGTTTTGCGTCTGCGTCCTCCATCTCCCTTCATTGTTTCACTGTCTTTCCCTCGTCGTCCATTCTTACCCAGCTTAAAATGGGGGAAAAGTAAAAATGTTTATATTAAGCAAATTAAAAGTTTTGCTTGTGTGTACGGCTGGAGGATATGTCCAAACTTTGTCTCACAATATTTTTCTTAATTTTGGTCGATAACGATATAATTCGATATAGATATAAACAATATAAAAGCCTCAGAAAAACTGTACAAATAAATTAATGTTCACCTTTTATTTGTATATAGCCTTCAAAAAATTTTGAATTCACCGTCAAACATAAAACCTTCAACTTTGGTAATTTCTTTTAAATTTATTAATTCATTTCAGGGAAACAAAATAAACAAAACAAATTAATCAAAAAGAAAAAAAAAATATTGAATGAAAAGTGTGCAGAAAGAAGAAGAAAATTCTCATAATATCTGCCCCTTATTTAAAAAAATATATAAAATGACTACAAACAACAACTCAGGCTTGAACCCTAAAGCGAAAACAAAAAACATCAGGCATTCTTCACATGGTATCATACTTTCCTAACGACTTTTAACTTGAGCATCTTTTTAAACTCAAATTGTTTTATAAATGTTTATGGTGATATCAAAGCAAGTCCACAATCCTATTCCCTGAATTACAATGCAGCTCTCCTTCAGACTACTTCTAAATGGAGGTTTTACAAACATTTCCATTCTCTTAAAGTTATGATGATTCTCTTTAACGTATTTTAATTGATTATTTGAGGGTAATATTTTTATGAGCTTTATACATGACTTGTAAAATACTATATTCAACCAAATCATAAAATTTTAATAATTTCAACTGATAAATAAAGGTTGAATGATGAAATAATATATTTGTTGGGTGACCATAGCACTTCCTACTAATAATTCTTACAGCTCTTTTTAGTAAAATAAAAATACGATTTGTAATTGTTTTGCATGCTTTTCCCCAAACTTCAATGGAACAGATTTAATATGGAACAATAATTATATTATACAATATATGTAAAGCTTTGTCTTTCAAAAACTCCTTTACTTTATTTTGCTATTTTTATTCTTAAGTAATTTCATGAGATTTCCATGTCATCTTCTCATCAATAACAACATTTATTAATTGTTTTAACTTTAAACACCATAACGGCTGCTGCATGCGTTTCTCTTTTGATACAGCTGGGGGTGTTCAGGGACACGTTGGCTCAAACTTTGTTTCATCTTGTGACTCTCAACAAATTCCATCGAGTGGAAACTCTTCAGATGGAATAAGTTCGATGTGTTCCCACCGCTAGTTGGAACGACTCTCCATCACATATTGCAGCACATGAAACCTGCAGTTTATCGGATCTTCCACACCGCCGAATTAGTCTTTCCTCTCTTATCAGTGATGTCATGTGCTTTCTCTTCGCTTGTGAAAGCTTGTTCAGTCACATTCTGACGGTCATGAGCACTCATTTTGAAGTGAAAACTGAACGTGCATTGGAGATTAGCCTAGCCTGCTACCGCTGACTCCTTCTGGACTCGAGCTCTGCGTAACGTCTACGTCACCACGCACTTTCGAAGTTGTGACGCACTTTTTTCTGTCCGGGTTGAAACTGAAGCAGCCGCTTCAACCCCAACAGAAAAAGAAATGAATCAGTGAACTGCTGTAATCCTACTGAAATGTCAAAATTTATATAATGATATGCTAATTTCATGACGTAATACATCAGGGCACCCCGCCCCGTTAACAGAACCGAGCGCGCCCAACGACCAAAACGAACTGCGCGCCCCCCTCCACCTGTCGGTACTGGCGTAATGCTAATTAGTTGCGCGCAATACTAGCTAAAAAGCTAAAAACAAACAACGTGTGGCTCAGCTGTCTCTCCCTCCCCAGCTGCCGGTACAAACGCAGCTCGTCTTTTTTCTCTCCCCCCACCCCTCTCTGAGCTGCCGGTGCGGGCGCAGCTCGGCTGCGTCTCCCCCCGCTCTAAACTGCTGGTACAAACGCGCGCAAGTCAACTGTCTCTTGAGTTCCACAGTCGGTCCATCCATGGACCGAGAACAGAGTCAGGTGATGAAAGACAGAGCATCAAAGAAATGAATCATTCCTGCAGGAACAGAGGAAGCTGAAACACCAACAAGCTTCAGGGCCAGCTGATCACCTTGTCAAGTTTTGGAGGTTATAGCTCATTTAAAGGCAAAATATATTTTGTTGCATGTTACATTTATGCTCAACAGATCTTAAGATTTAATTTTATTTAGTTATTTTGGGAAACTTCACCTGCACTTTAGTGTTTGAGGAAGATTTTGTTGATCTATATTTTGTGCAGACTTTTTCCATCTAAATAACAGAAGGATCATTTTTATTTTTATACTTGGAGACTGAATACTTTACTAAATAAAGTAATTTCAGTAAAAATTAACCCTTGTTTTTTTTTATGTAATACTGCAAAGTAACGTGTTATTTTGTCATATGAATAACTATGATGTCTGTGTTTTTTGGGTTTTTTTTTTTTTTGGTTATATCACAAAATTTATCATTATTGTCAGAATGCACTGAAATATACATGATTTCTGAAACTTTCTCAACTCCCCTAATGGGTGCTTTATGGCCACAGTGGGGTTCCAACCCTAAGTTTCAAAACTGTTGATCTATACCTCAGAAAGCTACGCCTGAAGTTCAGGTTAAAACGGTCTTACCTCCTCCTCCGTTAGCATGACGTGTATTACACGAGGATCTACCATCTGATTTTCTTCTCCCTACAAAAAATATACAAACAATGTTTCGTTACGTGAAAAAGTAAAACACCAGTTTTTGTACTCAAGGGGTTTTACATATCAGCACATAGAAATCTCCTGGTGCTCACCAGGTCCTAAAATATTATGGTGAGCAAACACATTTATTGCTAACGCAAAAGTCAGAAAAGTGAAGTTATGCACAGATAATTTGACCCCCACCATGGGTAAAAACCTATAAAAACGTTGTTATGGGTGGTCATGTCAGAAACGACCTTTGTTGCTCATCAGAATGGAAAAGGATCTAAGGCTTTTCCAAATTCTAAATTTCACCAATTAACAGTATTCACATAGGGAAACATTTAAGACAGTTGCCAATGGATTCACTGAGGAACTGAAATATCTTAAAGACAAAAAGTCCTCAAAAGAAAAACCTTCATTTAAACCAAGTGATTGCGAACTGACCACTTAGCAGTCACAAATCTGTATCAGAAGAAAACATCTCAACAGAGTCTTCACTCATCTGGATATCTAACACCATATAATTAAAAAAAGAGGGCGTAATTAATTTTTTTTTACAATGACTTATTATACAAACAAACATTACCTTATCCAAAGTAATCTCCATAATGTGTGAGATGGGGTCATGCTGTGAGACCATTCCAGAGGCCCAGCTCTCGTCAAACTCTGGCTGGTACACACGAACTCTGCGTCCTTGAACAGTATATGAACCTAACACGAACAATGAGTGAAGAGAAAAATCCTTCAGCCAAACGTCTTTATCACATCATAGGTGCCTAACTACTAGTCAACCATCACTGTGGTTTTGATCACAAAGCCATTTTCCCCCACACATAAGGCTCTTTCACAAAACACTGGGACTTGGATGCCCTCTGGCCACCTCAGTGTAATTTCTGAATGACAGAGGCACCAAGAGAGGGTTAAAAATCAGCCCACCCCTGATGCACCTTTGTACCACAAAGCGATGGTAATGGTCGGCTCGTGAAAAGGTAAGGCAGGGCTGAAGCTCAATAATGTGATGAAGCGATGACAGCTGGTTGCAACTTTAAACAAACATATTTATAACCGAGGGAAGAGTGATGATGAAGCGCAGCAGCTTTGTTAGTTAACCTCAAGGAGAATTGCTAAACTCGAGTTAATGTTTTGAAAACCATACAAGGGAGACGTCTGTCATGCATTAAATGCGCGGCACTCCAAATTAACACAGCTGAATTCTGCTCAACGCCTTTTTGGTTATGCGATGCATGCTTCCTCTCTGAAAGCTCACATCTCTAAGTTCATTGATGATTTATGAACGGTCAGAGGCAACTTAAAAACAAAATGGGCTTTGTGGCCATTTTGCAGAACTGTTTGGTTAAAGAGCTTTGTGATTGTGTCTCATTAGTGAAAAAGGATGTCATCATGAAGACGGTTCAGTTTCTTTTAATTTACATGTCAAATAAAACAATTCAGGGTTCATGACTGCATATGTTTACACACATTCTACCATGACTGTGGAATCATGGGTGGCTTTGACCTAGTGGTAGGGAAGTCGCCTTCCAATTGGAGAATTGGAGGTTCAGTCCCCAACCACAAGTGTGCTGAAGTATCAGAGAAATGTCTCCAATAAGCTTATTGGTGTGCCAGTGAGAACACAAAATGTATTGTAAGTAAAGTAAAATGTATAACAGACTAATGCCATGTGTAGGAATTCAAAACAAATCTATTGACATATATCCTTCCAATTTCAGGTGCCAAGAATTAGAATTTCTTTAAGATAACTTACATGGGAAACATTATTTAAACAAAGTGTCAGAGATTACTGGGAGGGAGAGCAGGGGTCTTACCCTTCCTGAAGATCTCCTGAAGTTCAAAGTCAGTGCGCCAGCTGGAGATGGCGGCATGAAGTGAGGGCTGCTCCAACAGCAGGGGGTGTCTCATGTCTTTATCAATCTGTACAACAACACAAATCAGTGTCCTGAAATAGTGGAATGAAGCAATAATGTACATGCATAAAATTAAATTATAATGGAACGGCAACTGACATATTACAGCTTAATTTTTTATATATATATTTAGTCACAATTGTTGAAGAAATTAAAAAACCTATCTTAAAAATTACAAACTGATACATCCAAGTTTTGTATTTAAAACCTTCAAAAAAGGGCAAAGCAAGAAAATTACACCTGATGAGATGAACACCCGTGCACCGATAATTTAATCATTTCAAACATTGATTTAAATTTAGCAAAACGCTTGAAACTCACACACCTCAAACCTCTGGATACATTTGTTATCAGGCAAAAACTCAAAGTTCTTGTTTCCAAAATACTCCACAGGAAAAAGTGATCCTAAACCCACTCTGTCCACCAGCGAGCGGAAAACCTGCAGAAAGAGAGAACACCAAGTAATCATTTCAGCTCGTGAAGAACTCGCACAAATGGAACCAATCTCAACAAACGACCAACATGAAAACACCAAATCCACATGACAAAAAGATACCAGCAATGGGCTTTTATTAGTTTATCTGTTTCATCTTGAAATCACGTGGAATCAGAGTGTATTTGCCATCCGCATCACATGTGGTACATGTGGTAGAACGAAATTGTGTAAACAGGGTCCCAGTTACATCCAACAATAAAATGTAAAAGAAAAACACTAATAAGATCTAAGATATGAACTAAGAAAAACATTAACTAAAAATATGCTAATCACTAATAGCATAAAACACGCTGAACAGAAGCACTACAAAGGTAGACTTTGAAAAATAAGGACTACACAATGATCACGTCTTATCTTGTTGAATAATTCTTAACATTGTTAAAACGCACGACTGACCAACAGAAATTAATTTAGTTCAAGTATGAATACACAATATATATGAAAATGAACATTGTGTAAGTGCAATTAATGAGTATAATTTCACAAAATCTTGTAATTCTTTTTTGTAATGGTCTTATTTCTCAGCAGACATGTAAAACGAGGGCTGCATCCCACTTCTGATGATTGTGACTCTTAAAAAAAATGAAAAACCTGGTCCCAGTGGGGGGGGGGGGGGGGGGGATTCATTCACTAAAAGTAAAAGGAAATTTGACAAAGTTTTTTAAGATCATGTAAAAATATTCATACAGAAATACTAACTAAAACTCCACTCACTTTGTCTTATACGGACATTAAAATTACAACTTATTGTTCAAACAAACAAAAGTATTGACTTTTTTTAAAAAATCAGTAATTACGTTTTAACCCTTCTGCTCTATAAGCATTTTTTTAACATTTAGAATAAAATCGTTTAATCATTTACTTAACAAAAATTATATCTAAATATAAATATATAATGAAGCACACTCAGTTTGCCTGCAAGACTTTGATCAGCTCACTGGACTCATGTTTGAGCCTGAGTTTGGACTCCAGGTTTTTAATGACATTCTCCTATTCACAGACGCTGGTGATTCTGTGCTCCTTCTCTTACTGGACCTCACATCTGCCTTTGATACAATCGACCATGAGATCCTCATTGCGAGGTTAGAGCAGTGGGTGGGCATCACTGGGTCAGCCCTCGAATGGTTTAGATCTTACCTCGCTGACAGGTCCTTTTGTGTCTCCATCAAAGATTTTAGTTCAGCCTCGGCAGCACTTAAATGGGGGGTACCGCAAGGGTCCATCCTTGGTCCTCTTTTATTTTCTTTATACCTGCTGCCACTAGGTGCTATTTTCAGGAAACATAACATAACTTTTCATTTCTACGCCGACGACTGCCAAATCTACTTCCCCCTCAGACTCAACGATACTCGCTCTATTCAACCGTTACTGGACTGCCTGGCTGACATCAGAGATTGGATGGCTTTAAATTTCTTGAGTTTCAACAAGAAGAAATCTGAAGTTATGCTGTTTCCTCCCAATGACACAATCACCAACCACTGCATCGACCTATCCGTTCTGTCACCGTTAGTGAAACAAAGAGTCACTAATCTAGGAGTGATACTTGACCCTTCTCTGAAACTCAACAATCATGTAAATATGATTGTTAAATCCTGCTTTTTCCAGCTGAGGCGACTGTCTAAGCTGAAGCCCATATTGTCCAAAAATAACCTGGAGACAGTAATTCATGCATTCATTACATCCAGGCTCGACTATTGCAACTCACTCCTTTTTGGTATCAGTCAGACCTCCACAGCTAGACTCCAACTGGTCCAAAATGCAGCAGCCTGGTTTTTGACCAGCACAAGCAAAAGAGAGCACATTACACCTGTTTTGGCCTCCCTACACTGGCTTCCGGTTCACCTTCGAATCAAATTCAAAATACTCTTGTATGTCTATAAATCACTAAACAGCTCTGCCCCCTCCTATCTTACTGATCTGCTCCAGCCGTATGTCCCACCATGTTCTCTCAGATCAGCAGACCAGTTGCTCCTAACAGTCCCAGGAACCCGTCTCAAGCGCAGAGGTGACAGGGCCTTCTCTGTAGCAGGCCCGAGACTTTGGAATGAGTTACCTCTGCTCGTTAGACAGGCCCCCTCCCTCACAGTTTTTAAATCTCACTTAAAAACACATTTTTATTCCCTGGCTTTCTGCACTGAGTGATCTGTGCTGAGTCTGTGTTTATCACACTGTGTTAGTCATGTTGCGGTTGTTGTTGTTATCCATTATTGTCTTTGTTGGTTTCTACTTTTTGGTGTGCTGTTATGTAATCTGTTGCTGTGTGCTTGTTCTGTTTGTCCCTGTACAGCACTTTGGTGTGCTTTGTCACTGTTTAAAGTGCTTTATAAATAAATTGGTATGGTATGGTATGGTATGGTATGTTGGGGCTCTTTCCAAATCACACTCAAGATTCCTGAAAAGTTTAAGCTCAAATATTTTGAGCTTTTAAGTATTTGAAGTGAAATGTCTGAAAGTACAATCTTTTTTTTTAGCTAATTGTAAATTACTGCACTCGGAAATAAAGGTCACCTTTTCATCTATTTGTAATGCATATTCTTTTATCTTTTAACACATAATCTTATCTTTTTACTCCCCGTAAACAGTTTTCTTTGCGCAGCTCGAAGTATCAGTTCAGCCCTTAACCCTTAACTTCAACTACCTGTTTCACACTTCGAGGTTTTAATTTACAAGGGCCACTCAGACAACACTTTTTTCTTTTGTCTTGTTTAAGTTTCTGCTGTATGTCAGTCTGCGTGTTGTGTTTCATAGTGTTAGATTGCGTTATGTAATAATAGCCACATCAGTTCCACGTACAAAATAAAAACAATGAAATGTATATTTTGTGTAAAACTAAATAGCCTCAAATTATTAAGATATTAGTTTTTGTCTATATTGCCTAGACCTACATATTACAACAACGGTATTCAAACCAGCGGATTTAAGGTGGGGAATAAAGTTTTTAATATATAATCTGAGAAAGTCTATTTAAAGTTTAAAAAGTATATCTTACTCAAATGAGCCACAATTTAAGTCAACTACTAAAAATCATTTGCTGTTGTTTTTTAATATCCAAGAATTTTGAGGATGGCTGCTAATCTCGGCACAAAATATTTATTTTATGACCGTTATGTTCTTTAGACACGTCCGTAGTTGTTCTTTAAATGCACGTAAAAAACTCAGATTGAAAAAAACACTTTTTATGCAAAAAAAAATCTATCAGAAATGCATCTTGTTCTTTTCTAATGACTGGGCAAGCATAACTGGACTGTGCTGAACTCAGTCAGCATTGCTTAAGTGGTATAAATTAAACCTGTTGGGTTTTGATGGATCCCTCAGTGAAACTGTCCACTCACCAGAGCAGGCCAGGCAGTGGCTGAAGCTGGGACTCCAGTTACCCTGGTACCATCACTGCGGCTGACCCAAACTATAGAGTCTTCAACCAACACGGCCTTCACCCCCTCGTCATACACCTGCACCCATGAACATCGCTGCGATGGTTTGTCAAACTCCACAAACACCTACAGATCAGAGAAAAGGAAAAAACAAACGTAAGAACCAGAACTGCTAAACCAACTGGCTCATTTAGATTCCCTGCACAAAAATCTGAAATTCAGAAAAAAACATTTACAAACTAAATTAGAGGGCAGTATTATTATGTTATAATACTTGATATTTATGTTGTTGCTGTAACAGTTCAGAGTTCAAACAATGCATACTACAACCTAAGAGTAAGGTGTTCATTTGCTGCCAAGTTCAATAGATAGGATCTTAATAATGGCAAGCTGTTAAAAGATGAGCTTCTATGGCTGAACAATTAAAACAAAAGCACAAACTGCATGATTTTAATCAAATACTTTGAGGTGATGAACATTTATCACATGATTAATAAATATGACTCATCACATGACCAAATCAGGGAATAAGTCATACTTGATCAAACTAAACTAGGCATACAGTGCCTTGCGAAAGTATTCGGCCCCCTTGAACTTTTCAACCTTTTGCCACATTTCAGGCTTCAAACATAAAGATATAAAATTTTAAATTTTTGTGAAGAATCAACAAGTGGGACACAATCGTGACGTGGAATGAAATTTATTGGATGTGTCAAACTTTTTTAACAAATAAAAAACTGAAAAGTGGGGCGTGTAATATTATTCGGCCCCTTTACTTTGAGTGCAGCAAACTCACTCCAGAAGTTCAGTGAGGATCTATGAATGATCCAATGTTGTCCCAAATGACTGATGATGATAAATAGAACCCACCTGTGTGTAATCAAGTCTCTGTATAAATGCACCTGCTCTGTGATAGTCTCAGGGTTCTGTTCAAAGTGCAGAGAGCATCATGAAGACCAAGGAACACACCAGGCAGGTCCGAGATACTGTTGTGGAGAAGTTTAAAGCCGGATTTGGATACAAAAACATTTCCCAAGCTTTAAACATCCCAAAGAGCACTGTGCAAGCAATCATATTGAAATGGAAGGAGTATCAGACCACTGCAAATCTACCAAGACCCGGCCGTCCCTCTAAACTTTCATCTGGAACAAGGAGAAGACTGATCAGAGATGCAGCCAAGAGGCCCATGATC